CGGACCCGGAAAGGCCGTTCCTCACCTCGGCCGAGCACCTCCTGCTCCTGCCCTGACCGAGCCGAGCGCCGGGACCATGTCGGCCTACTCCAAGAGTTACAACCCCTTCGACGACGACGCGGAGGATGAGGGCGCCCCGCCGGCACCGTGGAAGGACGCCCGCGACCTCTCCGCCAGGCCCAGCGCGCCTGGGGACCGGCAGCAGTACCTGCGGCAGGAGGTGCTGGGTAGGGCCGAGGCCACGGCCGCCAGCACCAGCAGGTCCCTGTCGCTCGTGTATGAGTCCGAGAAGATTGGGGTCGCTTCTTCCGAGGTGAGCCTGGGGCAGGGGCTGGGGTTGGACCTGGACCCGTCAGTCTGCATTGTCATACGGGGTCAAGAAATGTTTTGTTCACCATCTTTGGGCAATTCTTGAATCGCCTAGAATAGGTTCTTGTGCTTTAGTGACTTGATGATTTGTAGTAACTTGTTAGCTTTGTAAAGAGATATGCATCTTGAGTACTTGAAAGAGGCAGTTTGCCCCAGGAATCTTCCTTAGCCATTAGACTGCTTAGTTGGTTCTTTTTTTTTTTTTTCTACTCCTAGTTCAAAGGTACACTCCACACTGTCCAGATAAGTAAAAAATTCTGAGCAGCCGAGCCTGGGTTAGGGAAATGGAAGGTCTGTTTCTTGTGCATAATTTTCTGGTCGGAAGTCTGGCCCAAGGGCTTCAGCCATTCCTCCTCCCCCAGAGACCCAGAACAAGTGAGGACTGTGTGCCTGCTGGTGACTGAAGCATAAAAGCAAATGGGCCTTGAGCTTTTTCCCATCCGTGACCGCTTGCCAGTAGAGGTGGTGAGGTCTTGTCTGCCTGGACACCCGCTGAGTGAGCCAGAGCAGGCGTGTGGGCCAGTGTAGGGCCTTATCTTTACATGTCAAATCCAACCAAGATCTAAACAGGCAGCGTGTGGCTGGGACAGTCCATTGTTCCAACTCACATTTGTCAGTTCTTCCCATCTATACAGAATTTCAGAGTAGAACCTTATGTGAGGGTGGTTCTTTTTTTTTTTTTTTTTTAAGAATAGTTTATTGAGCCGAAACCGGTTTGGCTCAGTGGATAGAGCATCGGCCTGCGGACTGAAAGGTCCCAGGTTCGATTCCAGTCAAGGGCATGTACCTTGGTTGCAGGCACATCCCCAGTAGCCGGTGTGCAGAAGGCAGCTGATCGATGTTCCTCTCTCATCAATGTTTCTAACTTTCTCTCTCTCTCCCTTCCTCTCTGTAAAAGATCAATAAAATATTTTTTTTTTAAAAAAAGAATAGTTTATTGATTTTTAGAGAGGGAGAGAGAGAGAGAAAAACATTGGTGCCAGATCGAGCCCACAACCCGGGCCTGTGCCCTGACCAGGAATCAAACTGGGAACATTTTGGTGCACCGGTGGATGCCCTACCAACGGAGCCACACCGGCCAGGGCAGGATTGTCCTTTCTTAGGCACCACATTCCTCCTCTGCCTACTAATGAAATGGTTTTGTGTAGGCATTTTTTTTTAAGTTTTAAAAAAATTCATTGTAAATTATTGTCTTTGTAAAAAAAATATTAGTAGATTATTACTATGTCAACTAAGAATAATTCATGTTAGACATATGTAGCTTTGAAATGTAATGCTAGAAACTAAAGTGTTGTATTCCTCCATGGTCTTCTTGTAACTTTTTTCCCTGGTAAAATTCATTCTGACCTGATCACCTATGGTCTTGGGCAGTTTGAGGTATATTGATTAACTTCTCAAATAGTCATCTCCATTTCCCCATTGCCCCTTTCTTGGATGATTCCCCTCCCCTACTTGGCTCACCTTCCTATCTTTGGCCTTGTTGAGGAAGTTTAGCTTGTGGTTCTTACATGTCATATCTACTGGATTCCTATTTTTGCGTCTAAATGGGAAGTGTTGACTCAGATTTGGGAAGATTGCTGAAGTCTTAGGGCCCTGGTAGAGGGGTCACGTGATTGAGTGTCCCAGGCCCAAGGAATCCAACTAAAAACTGTTTGAAGAGACATATATGCAAACAGTGCGGGGAAGTGATGCACATGAGCAGGAGGTAAGAGCCTGGAGGAGGCAGCTAAGGAGCCTTTTGTGTTCTAGAGGGAAGGGTTGGTCTCATAACTCAAGAGAACCGAAAACATAGATGAGTTGTTTTTGTAAGGATTATGTTGACACACACCCCGGTGCTGCCCCCAGGGGCCCTTCTCTCTATACAGTAGGGACTGTGAGAGCAGACACAGAGTGGCACCTCAACCTGTGAGGCTTAGCCTGGACCAAGCTGGTGTTGCTCTAAGAGGTACAGTATGATTAGTGACAGGCTCTCTCATTAGCATGGTTGCTTGTTGAATTTTTCTAAGTTCTCAATTATCAGAGACAAGAATGGTCAGCACCCCTGCCCCACCCTACTTCATACTCACCAAACTGTCTTCGAATCATTCTCTTCTCTCTTTCATTCCACTCAGAGTGGCCATGGTGGGTGGGATAGGTGAGCTCTTCCTGCACAGTGTAGTTCCCAGCAGACCCGAGTCACCTGCTCACCTCCCAGCTTAGAGACAGGTGGGAGACAGGTGCCTGCTGGATACCCAGCACTGTGAAGCCAAAACATGACAGATTTTTATAGAGGATAGGAGTTTACAAATAATGCTGGGTTGGGAAGGTCATAATTCAGTCCTAACTTTGGCAAAAGTAGGAAAATTACTTAGTCAAGTCACCTTTAGCAAAGGAGAGCTGCCCTTCTCGTGGGAAACCAAGCAAGGTTTGTTTCTCACAAAGACTAGCCACAGATCAAGATTTCCAAAGGACAGAGGAGAAGTAGGCAGGACAGAGCAGTCACACTGGGCTGGCCTGGTAAGCACAGTCCAGAACCATAGGGAGACTTGTGGGCCACTCAGCTCTTCTACATTTGCAAGTGTAATTTATTTATTTTCTTTCTTAAGGTTTAATTTCTGTGTAGTGATAATCCAGGGTTCAAATTTCAAAACATACAGAGGGCTATGCAATTTCCTCCTATCCCTCTGCTCCCACAGCAGCCACTTACTGTCAGTTCCTTAGGTGTGTTTTTTAAAATATATTATTTTAGAGAGAGATAAACATCAATGAGAGAGAAACATCAACATCTCTCAGCTGCCTCCTGCATGCCCCCTGCTGGGGATTGAGCCTGCAACCGAGACATCTGTCCTGACTGGGAATCAAACCAGTGACCTTTTTTTTTAATATATATATATACTAGATTTCAGAGTTTAATAAAAAAAGAAATACTTTCCCTCGGCTTTGCAAAGCAGTCCACCCATAAAAATGTTAATAGCTACAACATCATGTTCAGTATGCAGCTCCTCCATTAGTTGCGCGGCTCCCCTGAGCAGGGCAGTTTCAGAGATTAATGGAGAGAAAGAGAAAGAGAGAGAAAAACATCAGTGATGAGAATCCTTTATCAGCTGCCTCCTGCAGGTCCTATACTGGGGATGGAGCCCACAACCTTGCTCCCTATCATGCTCACCACATACAGTTTCTCTTCCTCTCTCAGTTCCCCCAGTGGCCCTGCCGCTCCAGGCCACTGCACCAGCTACTCCCCCTGCCCTATCCTTTTTGCCCCACCTGACCCTCTGATTCCCTAATTTCTCAGCTATCAGTTTCTCACCCCATTGGGGAGCCTCCCTGACCGCACCCTCTTAAACCATATGAAGAGTCCCTGTCAGGGGCTTACCTTGCAGGCCTCTGTCATTGTGTGTGGGTTTTCAAAGAGCACTCTGCCAGCCATGACTCCCTAGTGTCCTCACATCTGCACATGACCCTTAGACATACTTCATCGCGCAGGTGTCATCTCACATTGGGCAGTGTACACCCTCACAGGTCTTCAGCTGTCTTTCTACTTCCCCTTGTTCTATCAGGAATCTCTGTTTGACAAAAAGCCCTAAGCCTAAGAGGAATTGAGGTTCTCCTCTCTGCTGTCCCTCAGCATTGTATCTCCAATCAGACTTTCCTTCAACCATCTTCTTTTCCAGTTAAACTTTAGAAAATTCGTTTGGGGGCTCAAGGAAGAGGGGGAATCACCTGTAATGCTAACACCTAAGCTAAGAGCTTTGTGTGTGTGCCCTTTACACTGAGGGCACTTTGTAGAGTTCACAGTCACCCTCATCTCTTAGGTGACTTCCCATTCTCACAGAAACCAATAGAGAAGCCCTGACATGACCCTCTTCTGATGGGAGTATGCCTTGGGACGGGAGCATTTGGGGCCTGCCTTTGTAGTGGCTGGGGTGCAGGGCCTGTCTGGCCTATCCTTTCTATCCTGGCACTCTTGGTATTTGTTCTGCCAAGCCCTCATCCTCGTTGATTAGAACTAGGTCACAGATACATGGAAACCAGTCCTTTCTTCCGCCTGGGAGGAGGATTTAATAGAAGTTCCTCCTCTGTTGGCTTTCTGACCAGCAGATCACCTACAGTAGACTCCAGCTTCCAGCTCACAGAACCTTCCAGAGACCAAAGCGGCACTCACTTCCTGGCCTTCCAGCCTCACAGCAGGACCAGCCACCCCTACATATTGCTCTGCGCTTCTATCATAACATCTAAATAAGATGCTTGGTTACCTTCTGAGTCAGCACAGTGATGTAGACTCTGAGAGTTTGAGAGACTGTGTCACTTGTAAACAAACAAACAGATGTTTCTCTCTCATCGATGTTTCTAACTCTCTGTCTCTCTCCCTTCCTCTCTGTAAAAAATCAATAAAATATATTTTAAAAAAAATCTCACTATGAATTGAAGAAGGTTTTCTTTGTCAGGTGCTTATTACTGCCGTGACTCTCCAAATTGAGGTGGACAGGCCAAGGTGGGAGGGTAAGTCGATTCCTACTTTTGCCAAAGCTAGGACTGAATTATGACCTTCCCAACCCAGCATTATTTATAAACTCCTGTCCTCTATAAAAATCTGTCATATTTTGGCTTCACAGTGCTGGGTATCCTGACCAGCACAGGGGCTCCTGTGATGGGAGAGTTCACTGTCACGGAAGCCAGAGTCCTGGCCACCATTCCCACCCCCAGCTGCCCTAAGTGCCTATTCAGCTTCATTTCAAAAACATATAATGCCATCGCCTTTGGTTTTTCCCAGGAGCTCGTCCGTCAACGAGGAGTCTTAGAACGCACAGAGAAGATGGTGGACAAAATGGATCAAGATTTGAAAATCAGTCAGAAGCACATTAACAGCATTAAGAGTGTGTTTGGGGGATTCGTCAATTACTTTAAATCTAAACCAGCAGAGACTACACCTGAACAGAATGGCACCCTCATCCCCCAGCCCAACAGCAGGTGAGTGGGTCTTCAGCCGTCCTGAGGGGAAGTAGCAGAAAGTGGGTTTTAGTGCAAATAGCCAAGACTCTCAGGCCACTTCTAGTGCCTTAAAGAGATCCAAGAACTTTGTAAGTTTCTCATGAGGAGGAATTCCTCTTCAAACAACTTAAGCAAGACAAGCCACCCCTACATATTTTTCCAGCACTCCCAATTACCTTCACTTGATTGACATCCAGTCTGCAAATTCAGCATCAGTAAATGGGTCTCCAGTAAAATTACTGCTCCAGTGGCTGTGACCCCAGTATTTTGAAAGAGAGACTATTCACTTCAGAAAGATGTGACTCACTTGACCAAATTTTTGCTTTAAAAAATCTTTATAGTGAACTTTTCCATATTTAATCCAAGTTGCCAGTTGATTTTCGTTTTAAAATTAGAGATTATTCTCAAAATTTTGGGCTAGAATATAATGAAATCATGCATGTGATTTTGACTGGCATTTAAATAACATATTTAAAAAAATAAAAGAATCACCCGACCTGGTTTGGCTCTGTGGATAGAGCATCAACCTGCAGACTGAAAGTTCTCGGGTTTGAGTCCAGTTAAAGGCACATACCCGGGTTGCAGGCTCAACCCCCTGGAGGTGGTGTGTAGGAGGCAGCTGATTAATGATTCTCTCTCATCATTGATATTTCTCTCTCCCTCTCTGAAATCAATAAAAATACCTTTTTTTAAAAAAAAAGAACTGAGTTTCTGCTAAAATAGATTAGTACTATTCATATCTCAGGTCGGTGTCTGTTTTTATTATAAAAACTATCTATACCAGTGATGGCGAACCTATGACGTGTGTCAGAGGTGACATGTGAACTCATTTTTTTGGTTGATTTTTCTTTGTTAAATGGCATTTAAATATATAAAATAAATATCAAAAATATAAGTCTTTGTTTTACTATGGTTAAGCTCAAAAGGTTCACCATCACTGATCTATACAAAAGCCTAAGCAACCGACCAGCCGGTAGCTATGACATGCAATGCCCACCAGGGGGCAGATGCTCAACATAGGTGACTTGGCAGTTGCAGTTCTGGGGTGACACACCCGGAACCAGAGAGGAGGGAGCCCGATTCTGGGGTACGTCACAATCCAGGAGTAATGAAAACCTCAGATTTCAGAAGGTCCTGCTCTATTCTACACATCATAGAGCACTGGGGCCTGCAAAACCATTAGCCTGACAGAGTCTGGCCAGGTTTGGGGGTACATGGGGGAGTAAGAGGACTTCTGTTTGCATGGTTCATGTAGAAGGAGGGCCAAAATGGAGGATAACTGGATTTCAGCTTGGCTGATGAAGTGGCCAGGCTACTGGTTAGCAGAGGTGGAGAAGCGCAGACTGTGTGAGAGGCCCAGCTTTGGAGACGCGTGCCTCACCTGTGGGGACTCAGTGGGGTGTTCGGTGCAAGCTGAGTATCTCTGAGTTCCCAAGAGAAGTCCCTGCTTACAGCTGGAATTAGGCTTTGCAGGCTAGGAAGCAAAAATCAAAGATATTTTGTAGAGACTTACGTAACAAGAAAATAAACAAAATTTTAGTGATAAGTCAATTGAGGGAAATAATTGAATACAGTTTTTGTGTAATACAGGTCTCTTAATAGAAAACTGAAATTCTTAATAGAGGTTCAATGTTAGTGTTCCCCATCATTTAATTGATTGCCAATGGACATCTGTAAAGGCCATTCTCTGCTTGTGGCCATACAGAAACAGGTGGCGGGCCGGATATGGCCTGAGGTCAAAGTTTGTCGAGTCCCAGTCTAAAGCACCAAGTTGGTTTTTTCATATGTTCTTCTTCCACCTGGGACTAGAATCCTTGTTTTCCTGAGGGAGGGCCACCTAACCAGCTGCTTCGCTTCTAAAGCCGGTGTCTTGGAAGCTTGTCACATGGCCAGTGGGGCTCCCAGCCGTGCTGATGGAATTCCTGCTTTGGTCAGAGGAAATATTTGATTTTCTCACACAGGCATTACTTAGAAAGATTGACTGTACTATCATAACTGTTTTTCCTTTCTAAAAGTTTCCCTTTTATCTTAACTTTTATCAAAAGATTGAAAGAAGCTATAAATACAAGTAAAGAACAGGAGGCACAGTACCAGGCCAGCCACCCAAACCTCAGGAAGCTGAATGACCCAGGTTAGTGGGGACCTGTGCTTCCTCCCACGTTTGTATTCTGTGGGGAGACCTCTGGATTTGGTGTTGGCCCTGATGGATGGGGGCGGGGCAGCAGGGACTTTCAGCTGCTGCCATCCCACATGCTGGATGACAGGTGTTAGGGACCCAGCGTCACTCTCGGGGAGCTGGAGTTGTGCATTACTTTGGAGGGTGGAATGATGAAGTGGGAGCCTGTGTCCCATTGAAAATGAGCCTGAGTTCTGGCAGTGAAAAGCCAATTGCAAGCTACCCTGCGGGTGCTGACCTGCGGCACCACAGACACGCTGCCGTGCTGCACCTGTGACGCCAGGGCACAGAGGAAGTGGCTATTTCTACGCTCAGTGCTCAGAACAGTGGGCACTAAGAATGGCTTGTAGCCTGACATTCCTGGCACGCCCGGCTGGCTGGTGTTTGGAGTCCATGTGCGCGGCTGGCAGACCTGTGCTCAGGCTTACACTTGGGAACCGCGGGCAGAACCCTCAGCACTGCTTTTGGTTTTCCTCTGGATGACAAGGCTGTTCGGTGGGGTGGGTGCAGATGCACATGGCAAACGCCATGGGGCTGACCGGCACAGGGGCTCCTTCCTGGAGGGTTCATAGGGCTGGGCGGGTGTGCGCTCCCTGTGGTCCTGGGTGGGCGGTTGGGAGCCACCTGGCACATGAGCACCCACACTAGAGACCTTAAGACAAGCAGTGCACTTTAGGGAGCGGGAGGGGCTTGGTCAATTAGGGGTGGGGTGGGGGTGCCAGAGGTTCGCTCCCAGCATTTGCCTGTCCATGAGTTGGGAGTCGGGCCCCACGTGGACCCCTCAGTGGGCCGATGGTAACTGCAAATGATTGTCCTAGCCAGGGCACTGGGGAGAGGGAGGCTGTAACCCTACTGGGGTGGCAGGTATAACCTACTGTAAAAAATATTTTTTTTAAATAAAAGCCAACTGCAAGAAAACCCCTATGGTTAGTAGAATAATGGCTCCCTAAAGATGTCCAATCCTAATCCCAGACCCTGTATGAGTACTATGTTATATGGCAAAAGGGGAATATGGTTGCAGAGGGAATTATAGTTGCTAATCAGCTGACTTGAAGTGGGGAGATTATCCTAGGTCAGTGGTCAGCAAACTGCGGCTCGGTAAACCACGGCTTGTGAGCCACATGAGGCTCTTTGGCCCCTTGAGTGTGGCTCTTCCACAAAATACCGGCTCTTCTACAAAATACCAACTTCTGCACATGGGCCACCTAAGTTTCAATCGCACTGTACATGTGCACCCACACATGGTATTTTGTTATCCAGTTGGGCCCAGTATAGTCACAAAGGTCCTTTCTAAGTGGAAAAGGAGGCAGAAGAGGGAGTGTCATAATGGGAGACTGGAGATGCTACGCTGCTGGCTTTGAAGATGGTGGAATGGGCCATTACTAAGGAATGCAGGTGACCTCTAGAAGCTGGAAAAGGCTAGGAATTGGATTCTGCCCAAGATCCTCCAGCACAACCCTGTTGACACCTTGATCTTAGCCCAGTGAGACCCGTGTTGGACTTCCGACCTGCAGAACTGAAGGGTAAGTTTGCTTGTTAGAGCAGCAGTTGGAGACTAATATAGCCCCCAAGCTTGAGTGAGGGGAGAAGCAACGGCATGAAAAAGGTGTGCAAGGTAGAATGTTTTTGTTTGAAACCATCCTGTTGATATTAAATGGCAGGCTCAGAAACATCCCTTACCCAAAAAGGAATTTAGGCCTTCTTGGGGCTTCTGTAGACCCCTAGAAAGCAAGGCACAAGGGAGGGCTCCAGAAACCAGATGCTTTCTGTGCTTTCTAGATGCCTTCAAGGAAAGTAGGACACACCCTGGAAGCATCAGAATCCACTACTGTCATGGTTGGCACAGCTAAGGAGAGTCCTGATGGAGGAAGAGCCAGGGGTCAGGAAAGGCTGAGATGAGTGCAGTTCAGTTGGCAAAGGCAAAAACCATGGGACAAAATAAAACTAAAATAAACCTAGAAAAAAATCAAGGTCTTCATACCCTAAAGAGGTGGAGCAGAAGCCCTACAACCAAAATACATGATTTTAAGGAATTAATGGAAGTTTTTAAAGTAGAAATAAGTTTCAAAAAGAAAAAATGCCCATTATCCCATCTCTATAACCTAACAGTTTTCATTTTTAAACCTTGTCCTTCGACTGTGTCCACAAGCATGTGTGGTTGTGCATTGTGTTAGTTCCACTGCCATATTATTACTTGAATGTATCTGTGTCTTCTGGGCTTGGGTGCCTGTGTCTGACCAGGTCACTCGTAGCTTGAGAGTCTTGGATTCTGAAAGGATGCCCTGAGGAAGCATCTCTCCCTCCCCCAGGGCTCCTGTCCCTGCATGTTATCCATTCACACACTCATCTCTTCGATGGGCTTCTGGTTCATTGACCTTATTCCGTCCACCCATTTTGCAGATTAAGATTAATCTAGTGAAGCAACATTTCTAGAGATATCAGTTAAAAGTTCTCCTGGTGTTTCTTTTAAACTCAGACCCCATCCCTGAAGGGGCCATTTCTGCTGTGAGTACCGAGGCTTACCCGAAGAACCCACACCTTCGAGCCTATCACCAGAAGATTGACAACAATCTAGGTAAGTTGCACCAGCCTCCACAGATCCCTGACTCGGGATACTTGTCTTCCAGGCAGCTCAGCCAAACCATCCAGTGCACTAGAAGGACCCAAGTTCTCAGGACTAAAACCTGGTGCCTGCCTCTCCCTGGTTACGTGTCAGGTCCACTACAAGTTGTGTCCGTCTCACCGCTCATTCTCTAGAGTCTGTTCACTTCTTTTCCTTCTCACCTCTTGTGTGGATTATGACATCAGCAGGGACCAGGAGTCCCTGAGAGGCCACACAGTGCAGCCGGAACCCTGCTCGCTTCATTCTTACCACCTGGCATGCAGAGCCCCATTTTCTCCCCTGCAAACCAGGCTCAGGAACAGAACCTGCCTCTGAAGACTGGGTAGGGGGTACATGAGCAACACTATCAAGCACGTAGGAAACTGCCTGTCCTGGTAAGAGCAAGCACTCATGTGGTCCTGATAGCACATTGGCCACGCAGCTGGGTTCCTTACTGTCCAGGTCTCTTGCCCTGGCCTCTGGTCCCTGCCTGCCTCTCCACACTCCTGCCCTCATCACTTTGACTTCTTTACTTGCCCACAGCTGCCATCTGCATGGAGTGTCCTCCTTCCCACTCTGCAGGCTGGCTCCTTCTCATGCTCTCAGCCTTGCTTTAATGTGGCCGCCTCTTGTCTATCAGAGCACCCTATTGTTTCCACTACAGTGACTTATCTGATGTCATCCTGATGAGACTATAAATTCCAGAGAACACAGGAATATTTGTTTGTCACTACTTTGCACCCAGGGCCTAGGAAGAAAGCACTCAATGATTGTTTTTTGAATGAAGGGAGCAAAGTCAGTCATTTGAAGTTCAAATGGAGGAGTGTTGTGGGTGCAAACACTAGGGGTTGACTCTGTGAGCCACTTTCATGCAATTATTCAAGGTGGTGTCTCAGACAGTGTTGCCTCCTCTGACCTTTGCTGCATGAGCAGGAACCTCCCCCCTGGCTGGTGTCCCAGCTGCTGATAAGCTTCCTAAGGCCTTGGGAGACCTCACAGGTTCTCTCTTTCTCTCTAAAACCGATTTTTTAAAAAAATTTACAAAATAAACTCAGGAATCATAGGGCTGAAGACTATCCTTTTTCCATTGGTCCTGTTTAGATTTGTGGTGCCAGTGCCAATATTTGTGGATTCTGGCCTTTTTTCACTTAGTGTTTTATCTGCAGTTTAGCAGTTAAAAGGCTTACAAAGCACCTCCTCTTCTGTCTTTCCTCTGGCTCTTTCCTGCCCTGTTCTTAGTAAAAGGGCAGAAAGCAGCTCTGGACATGCCCATTCCTACTCCCCAGGTGCAGGTGCACGTGTGTGAGTGCACACACACAGACAGAGTCATGAAACCTAGGAAAGAGGCTTCATTTTCACCCAGAGAGAATCAAGTCAAGACTCAATTCTAGTGCTCTCTTCGGCAGCACATATACAGAGATTAGCATGGCCCTGCACAAGGATGACATGCAACTTCGTGAAGTGTTCCATATTTATTTTTAAATGAAAAAAGGAAAGATAAAAAAGACTCATTTTTAAAGTTGACACAGTCTCATCAGGGAGTTCCAGAATCCCTCTGCATGTCTCTTGCCCCCAACTTACCCTCGGTTCTCTTTAGGTCATCTGTGCCAGGTCAGCCTTTCATGTACTCCTAAGACTGGCCACAACCTTATAGACATCCCTCTTGAAAACAAATGTGAGATTGAGTTTACAACTTTTTAGAACAGAAGGAAAAGATTTGTTACCAATAGTGGACCAATCTAATGAGGGAAATAGAATGAGTTCAGAAAGGGGTCTTGTGGCCAGGTGCTCCTAGGGGCCTTTCTCTCACAGGGGGTTCACCTCAGCTGTGGTCAGGGTCCTGGGCAAGCCAGAGCTCACCTAAGGAGCAGGGTCAGAATTTACACTCGGGCCCAGTGGAATTAGCCTGGATTTCCTCTCATGCTACACTTCCCCTGGGTGGAAGTGGGACTCTTGTTGTGTTTCAACTTGAATTTCAACAATAATGATGTAACCTGCACAAGAGTTGAACCTTTGCCAAAAGCAGTATACTCCACAGTTACCTGGGGCTCAGCCAACTGGCATCTCTGAGGGAACCCAGCATCTTAGCACTTCATTCCTTTTGCCCCTGGTGGATACAGGAGCTCCCGTTGCACAGGATTCCCAGGTCTATCTCAGACATGTTTCCAAACTGGGGTCCTCATATTTTTCACTCTGGATCTGTGCTTTATCTAGCTTTAGGGCCCTAGAGATGGAAGGAAGGAAAGCAGGCACTACTTACTTACTGACATGGAGTTCTTGCCTCTGAAGAGCAAGTCAGTGGGTCTGGTTATTAAGAACCAGTGTACCTCTCCCAGATATTCACCCTCGGGTCTAGGAAGGAAACTTGTTTCCAAGCCCCTCTGTACTCTTCCGTGGGTACTAATTGATCTTGCAATTGGCAGCAATTTACTAGAAGGTTCAAAGGTTGCTGAAAAAATACGTAGGTCTAGATGAAATTTATAAAACACTGAAAGGACAAAGACCATTATATTAACAAGTGGTTATCTTTGGTGGGTAGTGTGGGGAAGAGTGGATTTTACATTAAGAACATACTACTTTCTATTGAGTAAACAGATTTTCTTTTCACTTGCACATATTTTGGAAAATGTAACCAGAGCGCTGGAGGTTAGCCTGTTATGTGAGGAAGAGGATTTTGTAATTTAAATGTCACTGAACAGCCCGGCCGGCATGGCTCAGTGGCTGAGCACCGACCTATGAACCAGGAGGTCACGGTTTGATTCCCAGTCAGGGCACATGCTCGGGTTGTGGGCTCGATCCCCAGTGCGGGGCATGCAAAAGGCAGCTGATTGATGTTTCTCTCTCATCATTGATGTTTCTTTCTCTCTGTCCCTCCCTCTCTCTTCCTCTTAAAAAAATAAATGTCACTGAACACCTGGAAGGGAACAAGAAGCAGTTCCCAGTGCCATCACTGTTTGCTTAGACCTGCATGTCCTTTACTTTCCCACAGATGAACTGTCCTCAGGACTGGGCCGGCTGAAGGACATAGCCTTGGGGATGCAGACAGAAATTGAGGAGCAAGATGACATTATTGGCCGCCTCACAACCAAAGTGGACAAGTTAGATGTCAATATAAAAAGCACAGAAAAAAAAGTTCGACAACTTTAAAGACAGTGAAGAATTTCCACTCCATTACGATGAAAACATTTGAAAGATCTTTTAAGTTCCCAAGAAATTTCATTTATTATTTTAGTATGTAATTTAACATGTGTTTGCAAATATTATAATCGAGTGGGTCTTAAGAGATTTTGTTACGAGGAAGTGTGCGTCCCACTTTTTCTGAGCCAACACCTCGCTCACTTCTTTGAACTGAATGCTTAGAATTTTAGTCTGAGCACAGTCTCCTTGCCTTGAATATCGTGGGCCTTTGATTAATATCATGCTGGAATGAGAAGGAAAAACTGCATTTATGACTTTAATGAGCATATGGAAAGATGAGGATGGAGG